AAACAAAACAGAAGACTCTAAATAAGAACAAAGTGCCTGCGTGATGTTTAATAAATTAATCTCTCTTCCAGCGGATATGTCTTAGGGGTGTAGCATTTGCTAGGGAGCAGCACAGTTCTTGTCTAAAAAGTCACTGTGCTTGGGCATCAGACAAAGTTGAGTTTGAGGGGCATAAAATGTCTTCTTAGTTAAAAAAATCTTTGGTTCATTTTCTCAGCATTGCAATGGGGGACAGATAAGGCACTTGGAAGTGTACTCCCTAATTTCACAGGGGAGTTGGTCTTTTTCTTAAACCATGAACAGCATTTACTGCAGATAATTCAAATATGGCTTATGTGTAGCAATCTGCAGTGCTTGACTAAGTAGTCAGGATGAGAGAGGAATTCTGTGGGCAGTGTGTGTTTCCCTTGTGTTTAAATGTACCTGATGTTAAACGAGTTAAACTAGTCCTGCTTTAGCCAAGCTTCTTGAGGAAATGAAGTATATGCTCCCACTTCCCTGATCAGTGCTGGGGCTTCTCCTCTGTGATATAACTTGGTGGAGAAACATTGATTTGAATCAAATTTGACTGTGAGATGAAGGGCTGAAGGATATTGCAGTCCTCCAGATTTCATAAGGAGAGGCAGTCCAGCAGAGGGAAAACAAATCAGTGCTTCCTTTAGGGAGCACACTGCACAGTTGATTACTAGACACCTGAGGATCCAAGCCTTTGCCATGCACACACATGGCACAACTGCACAAAAAGCAGATTTCTGAAGTAGTGCCTGTGCAATGAATCCTTTGCATAAAAGGGCAGTGGTTGATTTTTCTCCTATGGTCTAACCTCGGTGATTTTATTTCTCATTATGTCCCCTTGGGATTAATAACCTGGCTGTACAATAACCAGCCCTCTCTCAGAACTCCTGGATTCCCTCTGCCTTGGGCTCTTTGGCATAGATTTTACCCTCAGAATGAGGTGGAGAAATCCCACTGTGCATCCCAGCCCCTGAGGCAGCCAGGCTGGGATGGGGGCACAGCTCTGCTCCTTGTGTGGCAGAGGGTACGGGTCGGTGGCAGGGCTGAGGGGGTGGGCTGGTGGCAGGGCTGAGGGGTAGGGACGGGGTGGTGGCAGGGCTGAGGGGCAGGCTGGTGCCAAGGCTGAGGGGTGGGATAGTGGCAGGGCTGAGAGATGGGCTGGTGCCAAGGCCGAGGGATGGCCTGGTGGCAGCGCTGCCTGAGGGCAGCTCAGGGTCACCATCCCTGCTGTGGACAGGGTGCAGCCCATCAGAGAAACCCAAGCCACGGTGGGCTGGCTTTGTACTCCAGCCACAGCCTCTGGGTGGTGAGCAGAGCCAGTGACAAACCCAGACAGGGCCAAGCTGCTCCTTTCCATGGCCCAAAGCTGCCAGGCAGGCTCAGTGTCCCTGGTCTCAGGCCTCTCATGCTGGGAGCTGTGCAGGAGAAGGGCTGGGGAGTGGGGCAGAGCACTGGGAGAGGAGAATGTTCTGGTGCTTTGTGCCACCAGCGTGTCACAAGAGTTAATGGCAGATGTGGTTGTGAACATGTTCTGTATTTTTAGACAACCTTTAATTAAGACGCTCTGTATGTAGCAGCCACCAAATAATATGCTGCCACTTGAAAGCTGTCAGGAGGGAAAAAGTGTACAAAGCTTCCTGATGCAGCCCTCTTTATTTTTATCTGAAAGTGAATTAGGAAACCTTTCCAGTAACAATAACTGTCCTTTCACATGAAATGATTTATTTAATGCACACTGTAAATACTTTGGGCATCTATATGGATTTATACTTAACCCCTTTCACTTCACATTGTTTAATCTAGCCTCATATTAAAAAGATTACATCTGAAAGCTGAATGGGTTTTGTGATCCCAGCCTTTTCTTCTGAGACTAATGTTTTATATAATTATTTTGATACAGCAGATTTTTTTCCATCCTTTTGTTAACCTTTGTGAGGGGTGAATAGCCCTTTCAGGGATTTCATTTGGATTAAATGAAGAGAAAAGAAATGTACAGGGTCCAATTCTATTTCAAACTTAAAAATGCCTTCATTAATAGCGTATTTATTGCCTATAGGGTTAGAAAGATGTAAGATGATAGAGGGTTTTCTAATAGAGCACTAGTTCTTGCTTTGATATCACAAAGATAAAGTTTATCACATAAAATTGGGCTTTGATAGAAAGCAGTTTCAGTAAACTAAGATATGGGAAATCTGAAAAAACTTTATAAACATCATTTTGACATTCCTAGAATTTTGATACCCATCACTGTTTGGATAATCTCACTGTGAGTAGTAATTAGATTATTATTTAGCCAAGATATTGAGCACACTTACGGAATTAAATTGGTTAATGCATGTAAACTGCTCCCAATCTGCCTCCCAAACTCTGCAGAAGGATGACCAAAATCCACTCAGGCTGGGAGTGGAAAGCAGCCTTAAAAATTGCAACAACAATAAATCTTTGTGCAGGTGGATATTCATTTACAGACTTGCTCTGTCACCTGTGGAATTGCAAAAGCTCCAAAAGGCAGAATCAGGCCCAATTTTGCTTCTGCAGGACAGCTTGTGTTCAGCTGGAAGTGCACCCGAGTGGAAGTGCTGGCAGGTGTGCTGATTTGCTGGCTTTTCAATTCAGCTTCAGCGTGTCTCCTTCATTCTTGTGTTTTGTTAATTTTATTGTCGGTAGATGCTTTGATATGCTAATGTGCAGGGAGAAGTTGCCAGCAGTTGCACAGAGGGAGGCAATGCCTAAGCCTAGAAGGCTGATCAGGACATTCCTGCAAATTCACATTATTCTACATCACAGCTAGCAAACGGCATCCTGCTTTGTGCTGTCTACCTGTCCCCAAGTCACTGCTGCCTTCTGTAACAACCCCATTCCTACTGAAATTATGCATCCAGATAACACCATTAATCTATATTCTATAACAATACAAATAAAGAATGCTAAGGGTATCTGTAGTCAGCAGTAACTCTCAGGGAAATTTATTTTAGGTTTTCAGATTCTGGCTCTTCTGGGCCCAGGTGCAAAAACTCAGTGGAGTGTCCTCCATGTATGGGAAGGATTGTTGGAAAAGAGGTAAGTGTGACAGGTTTTCAAAAACAGAGAGGCTGAGATATGTGCAGGTCAGTTGTCTCTTGTGCACATGGGTATTCAGTGTTTTTTTGCAGTGTCCTGCATGTGAAGAACACCAGAAAAAAAGCCCAAAAAGCAGCAGAAAAAAACAGGTCCTATTGCTAAAAGCACAAAATAATTTTTTTTATTTTTTAATTCAAAACCTTTCTGTAGTTCTGTAAGTTTTTTTTACTTTTCAAACCCTTATATCATTGTCAGGCAAAGGACAAATTATCCTGTTTCCACAAGTGATTTCTCACACACCACTACTTTGCAGTGGATCAAAAACCAGATGAGGAAGAAAATGGAGGATCCATTTCTCATGTTATTTTTCAGAAAATCTCCTCTAATATCTCTGGGAATGGTGCCACATATCACAAATATCAACATCTGAACCAAATCTGATATTGTTGCTCACATTAAATAGCACTCAGTTCTGGAGTAGACCTACAATAACACTTGAAAGGTGCTAGCCACAAATGTGCTACCTCCTAAAATAGTTCTTCAGGCAATGTTATACTAGAGGCAGAAACCAATGAGATGAATAGTAATGCAGGTGGTAATGGTTGTTACCAGACACATGAGAATTTGACCCTTTTTGAGCACCCTGTACTGGTGGTTAACAGAGTTTAAGTGAATATTCTTTCAGAAAGAGACATTTTGCACAAAAGGTGTTTATCTTTAGGACTGGTTCCTGCAGAGAAGCCCATGGTTGCAGCTGTAGGCACACAAGCCCTCCTTCAGGGCTGATGCTTGAACCCCAAGGAGAATCAGTTTATTTAGTACTTTTATTTCAGTGGCAAAATACCCAAACTATCCTCAGGAGCTGATGGGCATGGACTCAGAGCATGCTGGTACCCTGTGCCACATGGGCTCAATCAAAATCCACCCTGGAAGAACAACTGGCATATGGAAAGGAGAGGAAGATACAGACACATCAAACACTGGAACAAAGAGACACTGTCCCTGCCAATTTCGGTAAAAATAAAATAAGAGAGCTGTCAGTGTCCTGGCTTGCTAATAAGTTGTGATGGATTGAGAGACATTCATTAATTTTCTGTGGAGATGAATAGCAGAGACCAGCTCCTGATGTGTGATCTCAGTGTAACCAAGGTGTGGGCCTGGGCCTCAGACACATATTCATGAGCTTTATTAGATACTTTGGTAAGTACACTGCAGCTGTAAAACCTCCTCAAGGAGCTGGGTGAAAACTTGCCTTTTGTGGGGCTGCCACCACTGGGCTCAGAGCTGGCTAGGAAAACATCAGGGGCAGCTGGGTATGCAATTATTGCACCTTGCTAAGCTGTTTCCAGCTGTGCCTGAGTCCCCACACCATGACTAAGGCATCTATTTTTCCTGTTGTCACCTGAGCTGTGAGAGCAGAGCTGGAAGAAGGAGGTGTTGGTCACATTGTGTTTTGGCTTGTCTGGCCAGCAGACAGTCAAATAGCTTCAATTTCCTAGTTAAAAACGACTTGCAATCTTGCAGACAACTTTAGCCTGGTGCTACTGAATAAAAAAAAAGGTATTTATGCTATTTTTCAGAATTTGTTCCATATCACAGAGTGCTCAGGTTTTACTCTAATTACATTTCTATGCAGCTGGATATCAAGGGGCTTTGTGGCAGCAGTAGGTGATCTCTAGAGGCCCCATGGCTTGCTGTGCTTCAGCTGTGGGATGAGCCTGTAAAGGGACCTCTAGAAGCCTGAGTGTTTGCTGGGTGAGGGGTGGGGTTATTTTTCCTTCTTCTTTCCTCCCCAACCTCCACCTCCTTTCATTTTCTTCTTCCTTCCTTGCAGGGCTGTATGGTTCAGCTGGGTTTAAAAGCAATTTGCCATGTTCTTTCTGCCTTTATCCAGGCTGCAGTATTCCTCTGAGGATGTGCTTTTTAGTTGCTCTTTATTCTTATCTCCAGGAATTTTTTTCCTCAAAGAGAGGCTGTAGTGATTTTCCTGGCAGGATGTTGCTGTTGTAGCAGCAGAGGGCTGTGGGTCCTCACCAGAAATGTCAGCCCTTTGCCATGAGGCAGTGAGTCTGCATCTGCAGTGCTTCTGATGTGAGCTATCATGGCTTGGGGAGGAGATTTTGTCAGGAGACAGCACTTTAGAGGGTAAGTTAAAAGCCTTATGCACTTGCTTCACTAAACTGGAAACACACTTTGTTTCCACACTTACAGTACCTGCTCACAAGGAATTGCAATGACCAATAAAGTGTCACCTGCTTATGTCACTGGGGCAGGGGGTATTCTGTGGGTCACACTCAGCTGAACTGCTCTTTGTTAGAGGCTCCTGGGCTCTGTTTAGGGCTGGTCCCTGCTGAGCACAGCTTTGGTCTCTGGCAGCTCTTGGGCTGGTGAACCAGGCTAAAATTTGGGACTTTGGTTGACAGTGATCTACATATTTTGATTATTCCCTCTGTTGCTGTTGTGTCTTCCACATCAAGCTTTTGAAATTCCCTCTGATTTATGCCCTGTCCCAGGATCTGTTCCAGTAAAACTGAGAGGCCTTGGAGAGCGGTTCCATCAGGCTCTCCCTCACCCAAGTGGATAGGAGCACACCTTATTTCTAGGTGGAAATTAGCAGATTTTGCTGAGCCAAAGAGGAGATTGCCTTTTAGCTTTCTAGGCAAGCAGCCACCAGGAAACAGCAGAGTCTCTACCTGGAAGTGGACATATCTTTATCCCAGCTGGGTATTCTCTCTGTGTTTTTGGTGAATATGAGGCTGTCCATGTCTGCCCACTGGATGGTGGTGAATACATGGTGAGTGGGGGAAAATCAGTGTAGCCTGTTCTTTATCTTTTCCCTTCAATTTGCTTCATGACTGCATCTAGTCAGCAATGTCACCCCTTCAGTGATCACTTGCTTCTGTTCAGGCTGCATTTTAATTCTTTTTTTTAATTTATTTTCTGGTGTCTTTCAGTCCCATTGCCCACATGGATAAATGGTTAAGAATAGTTTGCATGATGCTGTACTGAACTTCCCACCTTGCTGTTTGCACAAGGGCTCCCCTCCAGCCTCCAAACACAATGGTGGCAAGCACTGCCATCCTCTCCTATTGCTGTACTGAGAACCTTTGTGCTGTGAGCTCCTTGCAGTAGAGATGATTTTTTTGTCCTGATTTACCTGTCTGCTGCTACCGTGTGCTGTAAATCCTTCTGCTAGCCTGGGTCACAAAAGGGGACATGCCACACTCCACAGAGTGACACATGCTCTCCATTAGCATGGATTCCATGAGGTCACCGTCAGGGAGACAGGGATTGGCACTGCTCAGTGCCCGAGGAGGGAGCTGAGCTCCAGCCCGAGCTCCCGCTCTGCTGAAGCAGAGGGGAGGAGGGAGCAGCCACGCCAGTGAGTGCAGCTCCCTCCCTGCCCTGGCTGGCAGCTCTTGGGCTGTCATCTTCCACCTTCCTCTTCAGAAATGCCTGGAAAAAAAAACTCTGGAAAGGAACTCCCATTAGCAATTTTTTTGTAATTATTATTTAATCACATTCAGTGAGTGGTTAGTAACCAGATCACCCAGACTGCCTCTCCAAACAAATGAAACCAGATTTACTGGTCCATCACATTTTTTCTTTTTTGCTGCATCTTCTTCGTTTGATATGTACTTGTGTTAATTTTTTAAGAAAAGAAAAATCATAGATTTATTTATTTTCAAATTTTCCCTATTGGTTGGCAGTGCTTATACACCCCACACAATGATCTGTTTTCCTCTGTGCTGTAAAGACAGGCAATAGTGCATCTTGGAAGAGTTTATAAATAAAATGATATCTGCTACATCTTAACATGAAATGAGCTTTCTGGGCCTGAAGCTTCTTTCCTCTGTTCATTTATAGGGTGCTGGCTGCAGTGGGATCTCAAGCCTGTGTTTTACAGGAGCTACTGAATATACATCACAGCTCTGTATTGTTTCATGGGTCTCTTGATACATGAATTTCTGATTAAGACTTTTCAAATTGTTTAAAAGAGCTCTCAGTGCTGTGTTATCTATTCATGTGACCTTTCTACTTGCAGGCAAAATGTCTGTTATCTCCCTTTAAAAAAGCATCAATTACTCAGTTACGGTTTTTTAAAGAATTTTAATTTTTCAGCTGCAAAATTCTCCTTTAAGGATAGTCAGGAAATGGGTATCTAATCAGAGTGCTTGGGGAATGCCAGCATTCTATGGCTTATGGCCACCAAATAGGTTCTGTAGGAATCACGAATGTGGAATAGGCAGGTTTTGACTTTCAAGCCTGGGAAGGACATTTGCAACAAGGTTTTTTTCCTGGGAGGTCTCAGTGATCTTTGAGAGGTGATCACTGATGTAAGCAATTAGAAATTTAGTGTTGCTTGGGGATGCTAAAGGAAAATAGGTTATTAAACAGGTTTTACTAGAAACAATTTATGAATAATTATCTCCTGAATAATCAGAAACATTAAACTGAAAAGAATAGATATGTCATTAAAAAAAGAGAGATGGGATCAAAAGGGATCTGGAATTAGCATTCCTCATTATTTTAATGCCAGAACATGCTTCTGTATTATTAATAGATGTTGAAGCTGCTGCAGATTTTTCTGACTGCATTTGTACAGCTTGAAGAATCATAATTATCCTAGGGCTGAATATCCCTTTCTTAACAATGGCACCTGTTTTACCTTCCTTAGTTTGTCTCTGAGAACAAAAAAGGTCCTGTAAGGTTGCCTTTGACTCAATCCATAACCAGGGCATTTTTCTGTAGTTTACTCATCACAGTCCAGGCAGACAAGCTCTGAAATCTTTTGAAAATGAAATAGTCAGATAATATTTCTCCCTCTCTTATAAGCATTTCACAGTACAGCATTTTATTTCTTACCTCTTTTAATGGTATTTCCTTCTAAATGCATTTTCTCCCTATGTAACATGTCATTAAACTACAGAGCATTTCAGCCTGGACTTTCCCCAAGTGTTATGGCCTATTCCCAGCCAGCCCTGTGAAGCAGACTATTATTCCTCATAGCAGGGTTTAAAAATAATTGCCCAACTCCCTTTAGAAAAAGGCAGTTAGATAATGATTTAGTCCAAAAGTGTATTTATCTGTTTCAGAGCTGGGTAATGATCAAGATCTATTTGCCTATCAGGTCTGCGAGTGTGATTATTTCTGTGTGTTGGAGGCATTGGAGCACCCAGGGGTGCTGCCCTGGGGGTGCTCATGCCCTGCCCTGCCCTGGCACAGGTGAGCCCTGCTCTGGGATGCCCAAGCTGGGGGTTCAGAGGGTGCTTGAGCAGCAGGGCTGAAGGGTGGGTGCTGTCCCTGACACACCTGAGAGGTAATGCCTTGTCGAGTGCTTTTGGGAAGGGGCACTCCTGGAGATGCACTCCTGAAAAGCTTGTAAAAAAATGATGAAAAGGCTGGGGAGAGCAGCACTCAGCTGTGTGAATCCTGCTGGGGTTTTTCTGGGCTGCTGTTTAATAGCTCTATTTTATTTGAAAGAAATGCCAGCAGTTTGGATCTGATGTAAAGTCCACTGAAGATGAAGGGAAGGCTAATGTTGCATTGAGTGAGCTTTGCTAATGGTTATTTTAGAAGACTTTTCTCTTGGTTTATAAATTAATTCTCTTGGTCTTCTTTTTAATTGGTGAGACAGAAATTCGATGGGCTGAGTGGCACTAAATCATTCAGAAGATATTTAAAATCTGTGTTTTCGTGGAGAGCTGGGAGATACTATCCTTTCCTAGTGCACTGAACTAATCCTGGAAAAATAACAGAAAAGAATGTAATAGGAGGACATAACCAGGCAGCCACAGTTGAGAGCAGGTTGCTTTACTCACTTGCCTTGTGATTCCGTGGTAGAAATATGGGATCAGGTAATAAAACCAGAACACACTCCCACTTAAATGAATGGAGCCATTCATTTCAAGGACAGCTTCAGGGTTTTTAAGCTAGCAATGTAACTGACTGAATTCCCTATAGGCAGATGAACCAGTGAAGGAAAAATGTACAGAATAAGGATTTCAGGTTACAAGCTTTAGTCTGTTGATTTGGTATGTTTGTTTTGTTTTGTTTTGGTTTTTTTTTCCATTTCTCCTTAAACGCTGAGGGCTAATTACTCTGGTGGGGGTGGGGAGGTGATGGAGAGGGGAGAGCTGCGTTTGTTAGAGAGAATGGTCTTTGTGGCCGCATCCTTCAATGTGCAGAAGCAGCTCAAGCACTAGAGCTCTGCAATTCTGAAATTAACCTATATCCAGTAAAACATAGACTGCCTTTTTCTAGGTGTGTGGTTGATCCAACAAGAAACTAATGAGAGTGAGACCATAGGTCTTGCAATAGAAACAATGAAACAATATTATTACACTTTAATATAACAATATTTTAGGGAAACAATAATGAGCTGATTTCTCTGCTGGAGGCAGGTCATAAAGATAAGGGTTTCTGGAGCACTTCACTCCTTCCAAGTGCTGCTTTGTGAACAATAACATCTGTGATGCTGAAGGCAGATAGAGAGGGCTCTTAACTTCTGCTATTTCTGCAGGAGGCTGGTCTTGACTGTGGGAAGACTCCCAATAAAGAGTAGAAGAGGCTTCACGTGACCCTTTCCCCAATCAGGATAATGGTGTTTTTCTCAACAGGTTTTGAAAGGAGGGGAGAACATGCTGTCAAAATAGACCATTGCAGGAAAATAAAGGTATTTCAGATAAGCACATCTGAGGGATGTGACTCTCCTGTGGGAAAGTCAGTAGCAGTACAGAAACATGACATTATACTTTGCAAGCCCAAAATGCAAGCAGTGCATCATCCTTCACGTCCTTTAGGACCTTTACTTAAATTTGCTTTTGTTCGTGATTGTGGGGAGTGGTGGATAAGTGGATACTGCTTCGCATTTTTGTCTGAGTCACTTGGTCTGTCCCCTTCAACAAGGGAGAGCAGAGGGAGTTGGCAGGGTTTTTTTGGATCATCTAGAATGTGAATCAGGGAGAAGGCATCCCACTTCTTCTTCCTGGAGGAAAGGAAAAATTATTTCGTGCAGTGGAAGCAGAAAGCAGGAGCTATCAGATGGGCTCTCTCCTGCTATTAGATATCACTGCTGCTTCACCAGGCAAGGGAGACACTTGGAGGCTCAGCAATATTCATTTTTTTCTCCTCCCACACCATGAACTCTCAGTGTTCCTAGCTCTGATTATCTCATGTGCTCACTTTGTCCTCAGGGAAGGGGTAGAAAGGGTCCCTTCACCAAGAAGGGGATTGTGAGGGATATCAGCCCTGCCTAGCATGTCACAGGTCTGTTCCAGGGCTTAACAAAAGCTTTCCTCCTACTGGTGTTGCTGTCACCCAGTGTCCCTTCTGCCTGCCCATCCCTTTGGAGAGCTGTCTCCCATGCTTGTGGGCTGCATGATCTAATGTGGATTTGTGGCATCTTTGAAATTTCCCAGGAAATTTGATTTGGACTTTGGCAACTGCTTGGCTTTTTACATGAAGCTGGAAAAATTATGGGGTTTTTCCCCTCTCCTAGGCACATTTCATTGTGTCTGTGATCCCTCTTTACTGAGGACCCTAGAGAGGCATCATTACAAAAATGAACGAGAACATGGGGAAAGAGGTGGTTTCACTTCTGACTCTATTTCTGAATGAATTTAAACATGCTCAGTTTGTACCTCCAGGCATGTGAAAGAGCAGTGATCCCACCCAAAACTGAGATATAGGTGACAGTCCTGGAATCAGAAGAATGGGAGAGCAGTTGCAAGGGCAAGGAGCTGAGCCTCCAGCTTCAGTCAGAGTCACTTATGTCTAAGTCAGGCCTAATGAAGGTTTAATGTGTTTTTGAAGCCATCCAGTGTTGGTGTCACTCCAGCTTTTTCAGCAGTTGGTCCCCAAGTTTTCCTATCCTTATGTCCATAAAATTTATTTCTATAATAGCTAATGTTTTTTCTGCAGTATGGGCCCATTACTCTTTGTTTTATCTGCTGCACACGTGGTGGAAAGATGCTCCCCTTCCTTTTGGAAATGTAAAAATTGTATGTACTTATTCATATCAGTTTCTTCTCATTAACCTCCCTGTTCTCAGCCTTT